GTGCAAAGCTAAATATTAATCATAGGTGACTATGACCAAGAGATATAAAGAAATCAGGGGGGGGCGGGGAGTCTTAAGAGAGGGAAGTAACAACTGTGGGCAATATCTTCAAGTAGAAAGAAAATTTGGAAGCAGCTAATCGCTGATGAAATAGTGGGAAGAATCCAGGGGGAAAAAAATCCTGAAAGTCCAAACCAAATTGGAAGCATTTTAAGTCAGAAACTAAGAGGTTAAACCGGAATGTTGAGAAAGGGGGTAGAAGGGGGTGCTGGAGTTAAAGTCAGTCAGCTAGTCTGCAAGTGCAACGGAGAGACTGCTTCTGACAATCTCATCCATGTATTAAACTAAGCTCAAAGGAACTTGAATCCTGAGTCTGTGCCCTGAGGTCTATTTTGTAGCCAATCTTTCCCCACACTGAACTCAAAACAATTTTTCTACCCCTCATTTACACGTCTCGCCTATGTAGGTATAGATGACCTTCTTGTAGGGTGTTTGGCAAGGTGCTGAGAAGCAAGATAATAAAGACCTTAATAAAGGCCTTTAAAGTGTTAACCCCTGCTGCCTTGAGTCACTCTCGGCAAATGTTGTTTATGATGTGTATAGGGGTCAGCAGTACCACTGAAAGTGGGGCACATGAAGAAGGTCAGGTCCCCATACTTAGCTGCCAAAACAGCCCCTGTTGTAAAAATCTTCTGGAGATGTCCACCTGAATGCCTGAGGCTGTCCCGGTGGACAGTGGCCACAGGATGTCCCCTTGGATACTTCCAGATGCTCTGGTTGCTGGGCATCCTGCCTGGCAGGCAAAGCAGTTACCATGACAACCCCCTCCAAACTCTGCCATTTTTGGTTTCTCCTCTCTCATTAAGCACCAAGGTATTCCAGGGACAGGCAAGCACAGCTCTCAGGACAGGATGTCCTCTGCTCCAGGAGGGGGGCAGGGGCGGGGGGAGGGGAGTTGTGTATATGTTACGATTGAACAAATCTTCATCAATATAAATGCATGAGGTACCTACTTCTGGTTTAAAACGTTGTATATCAAGGGTATGTATCAGCATGTGTCACGCAAATGGTTTGTTTATCCACCCATCTTGCTCCCCTCCCCTCTCTGCTGCCCCTGTCCTGGGAGAGTCACACCCCCCACAACCGGGGGAAGTGCTGAGTCATGGCTCCAGCAGGCTTTCTCTCCGATTATCCATCTCCATTCCTCCCCCGTCCCCTCATCACCCCTGCCGGACTCTCTCTTCACCGCCTCCTTCCTGAGCCTGCACTCACTTTCCCGGGGAGCACTGCTGGGCAGTGAAAAGGAGCACTTCGCTGTTTCCAAGCTTCCTCGCTTCCCACCTTGCCTTCTCAGAAGACGGTACTGGCCCTTCGCCTTGCAACCACTGCCTCCCCTAGAGAACAGGAGCCTGACCAAGTTGACCCAGAGGCTAATTCCTCCGTGTATTCACGCCGATCCTCCCGCTCTTCGCCCCTAATCGGATTACGGCAGCCTCGTGCCTTGGGGCACGGCAAGGAAAGTGAGATTTAATTGGACTCCACACAGACTTTTTTCTCATTCTAGGTTTCCCGGAGGGGTGCGTGTGCGTGTGTGTGTGTGTGTGTGTGTAGTGCAGGGAGGGCGCTCCGTCGGTGGGTTCAGGGGCAGTGTATACAGACCACCCCCTCCCAAGGGCAGGATGTTTGGGGGTCTCTGTAGGCTCTCTGGCCACCCGCTTTAGGCTCTTCTGACGCGGTCACTCCAGTCGGGTCGTCTCGCTAACTAGTTCCAAATACGGAAGATCAGGGTTGTGTCCCCGGCTGGAAGACGCGGGAGGGAGAGGGGGCCCCGCCCGCCCGCTCAGTCTGGTTACTATAGCGACAGCCGCGGGTGACCCAAGTGCTCCTCCCTCGCTCTGTCCAAACCCAGAGAGGTGACGCCACCGCGCTGACTGCGCCAAATCCCAGCCAATGGGCGGCTGCTCCCGCCTCCCTGCCGCCAGTTCTCCCCCCTCCCTCCCGAGAGCCCGATTCACAAATCTGGACCCGGGGTTTCCGGCTCCGGGCCGCGTCCCAGGCCGCGTGCCCGAGGCGGGGGAGAGTCGAAGTCTGTGCTCCCAGGAGGGCAAGTGGGAACCGGCATTCCGGGGTTCTCGGGCCAGACTCCTGTAACTCGCCACCAGAACAGATCACATCCCACTCCCAGATTATCCAGAAGCCCGAGTTGAGGCCCAGTCCGCGCTCGTCCTGCCCCTGGAGGCCCCCACCCGGCTCATGCTGCCCGCGCGCCGGTCAGCACCACGGACAGCGGCCGCGCCGGGCCTCGGTCCGGAGGCTGGCGGTCTCGCGGCCGGGGTCGGGGACGCCAGCGCTCTGCCTGGAGACCGGCCTCCTTGGGCCAATGAAACAGTGAGCGGAGCGCTTCGCCGTGTGTCTAAGGCAAGGGAGACCAAACAGGGACCGCAGGCTAAATAAGCCATTTCTCTTCTTTCAGCCTCAGAGGATGGCCCCAGGCCCCCGGCCGCCTGTGTCCTAGCCTCCCTGGGGATGAAGGGCCAGGCCGGAACCTCCAGCAGGGATGGTCCTCCCGAGTCTGCTTTGGGCAGGGTGAGGCCAAGCAGCCTCGAAGCCGTCCGGTGGGCGAGGGGGAGTGTGTGGGCCTGTGTGCGGCGGCCAGGCCCCGCCTGGGGGTGGTGAACGCAGACTTAGTCGGGTCTGACTGGACTCTTGACGGCATCTATGGCGGGGAGAGACGGAGGAAGAAGGGAAAAGCAGCCGTAATAACTGGCTAGTTCTGCATCAGTGGGCCACTCTGTAAAAGGGGGGCAACGTCTGATGTCCTCGTCACTTAATCCAGAAATGGACCAGCCATTAATGAGGGGCTGGGCCAGACAAAATGGAGGCGGGGGCTGGGGTGGCGGTAAACGGGGCGGAAGGAGTAGCAGTTCCCAGGGACCAGACCTTCCTCACTAGGCCCATGGGGGCCTCCTGCGCTGCCGGTGGCAGTTCCGCTCCCGCTCCCGCTCCCGCTCCCTCCCTCCCGGGGCTCAAAGAAAGGCCGGCGCAAAACCATCTGCAGGCGCTTCCAGCGCTTTATAGTTATCTCCCGGACAGACGGACAGACAGACAGTGCAGCCCGCGCCGTCGGCCCGCATCATTGGCACCTTGGACACGGCACCAGGCCCAACCCTGTCCCTGGTACGCTCCCGGGAGGATTCGGTCCGGCCTCGGATCAGCACCTCAGACAGCTCCCGGCCCAACCCTCCCTCCCCCACCCTCC